TTTATACTTTGTTTCAGGATTAAACAAAGTATAAAACAGCCTTATTACATGTCCCTCAATGTAGCAGACACTATTTAACTAATCTATTAAATTAAAAATAATTTGATTGGTAAATTAAAACAAAACAAAAAATCCAATAGATTAAGAAAAAAGCTTTGTCGATTAAACTTTCTTTTTTCATTTTTTATTCTTAAATCAAAGATATGAACATTTGAACCACATTTATATGATAAGTGTAACCACATTTTATTTAGTAGATTCTATGTTCCACTTTTTATGATTTTAATATTTCTAAAATCAGGCTGCATCTTAAAAATGAATATTTAATGTGGTAGCATCTTTGTTTTCCTTGGATAGTGGTTATTAATTTTGTTACATCTTTCGGTGTCTCAGAATTAAGAAAAAAATGAACATGTTTACTTGTGTGAATTATGTGCTTATTATCTCTTTTGTTCATTTATTTATTGATGCCTTGATAGTTTTCTTATTAATTTGCATGAATGTCTTCAAGTTCAATTTTTTTAACCATTTCTTTACTGCTGTTATTTTTTTTTTATAACAGTCTCCTGTGTATGGCAGTGGGGTGGAGGAAGAAGGAATTTAAGAATTAAATATACTTGAACAGGCTAGTCTTTTGTCTTTGAGATTTCCTTTAGCATTCTTCCACAAATCCTAGGTAGGTTGCTAATCCATATCCTGTTATTTTGCCTTTCTTTTGTGGAACTCTTCCATACTGTGTGGTACCTGATCATTTTAGATCCCTTGAGTATCCATAGGCTCTGAGATACTCAAGAGCCAGAACAGGATATGATTTATTTACAAAAGAAATTCAAAAGACACTGAGTAGACAAACGTATGTAACTGTGGTCCACTGGAATTAATTTAAGGTGTGATTCTGAAGCTGCCTCAGCCTCACCAAATAAATAGATGGTCAGTTTTTCCTAATACCAATCAAATAATCGTGACCTTTTTCACTGGTTTGTAAAGACATTCTGCTCTCTGCTTTCCTGCCATCAACTTCTCTGCCATGGTTGGTTATTTCATATCTGTGACTGCTTTGTTGCCAAGATTGCCCATTTGCAAGCTAAATGAGGGCAGAGGTCACTGAGTTGTTCTTGCTCTCTAGTTTGGGAATGAGAAAATAAGTGGTACATTGAACTGGTAAGACAGTCCTTCATTCATTTTCATTATCTATTTCTGGGGTTTCTGGTCATTTCCATCCCTTCCATTCAGGAGCCTGGCACTTTGCTAGGCTCAGTATTTTGTCAGTACTGAGGAAGCTGTGCCTTTGTTCTATAGACCATATTCTAGTGGGGTAAGTGTAAAAATTAACAGGTTGCTTCGGTACGGTGGAAGCTGTGGTGGAGATGTGGGCAGAGTGCCTGGGAAAGATTGCTTGATAAAGATTGAGAGGAAGATTCAGAGAAGACTTGCTGGAGGTGGGTGTCCCCTGAAATCTTAGAGGGTGAATAGGAAGAAGCCAGAGGAGGAGGATGTTTTCCAGGTATAAAAATAATGCTCAATGCAGTCCATTTGTATTTGTTTCTGAAATATTATCTTCAGTGTTGCTATTTTGTGATTTTCAACAGTCTGTTAGGTTTCTGTCATTTTAATGCTTTGTGGAGAGAATATTCCTCATCTTTTAATTTTTCTATTTTATTTTGCCTGATCCACTTTAAATCTTGTTTATTTTCCAGAAAGATCTGTTGGGATTTTTGATGGGGGTTTATTTCAAATATGTAAATTAGCTCAAAGAAAAACAATTTTGGTCAAACAGCCAAGAGCCAATCACTTCATTTTATATTTTTCTTTCAAAAGTTTATATGTTACTTAGTACAGGTTGAACAGATCTCTTATGAGATCTTTTCACAGATAAGTTTATGAATGTATACATACATATTATGTTTAATACATAGATATTTATATTAAGAAATTTGGTAGGATTTCCTAACCGGAAATTGATCTGTTTGCCTAAGAAACAAGAACCAATTTTTACTTTGTTCTTTTTAGTTAAATTTTTGAATTGTACATGTCATTGAGGTTTTCTATTTTTCTTATAAGGAAATAACATGCTGCTGTAGCACACTTTCAATTTTTATATGTGTTTTTTTTTTTTTTCTAAATGGCTTTCAGCTACTTTTTCTTGTAAGAGCATTCTCAGGCTGAGTGAGTTCCTTTTCTTTGTCTCTGTCAAGTGAGGATTTAGAAAAGAGAAGAAAGAGAGTTCTTCTAATAAAGTTTTACAATTAAAGGAAAAAAATTTATACGTGTGTTTTAAGTTTATTTTTATGTTCTTAAAAGATTTATCATCTAGATTCTTTGTTTCATTTTTTAAATATAAAATTCAGAATTAGTGATCTCTGCTTTATAGTTCCCCCCCCCTTTGGCTACTTTTTCTAAAATCTTAAGTTGAATGCTTGATTTATTTCTGTGTTAATAAGTTTAAATATATTTATTATGTTGAATATTACTTTGGTCAAATAATGTCATTTGTAGCATTTTTAATTCTGATTCTTTAGTTAGGTTGGTTATTTTTTCCAAATCACCAATTAGTTAGGGAAATGTTCAGTTTTAAAATTTCTAGAATTTTATGTTTGTATAAAAATAAACTGTTTCTATTTTCAGAGAAAATAGTCTGAAAAGTTTTTAACTGTTTCATTTTGAAATTATATTTCTTTGTTTTATATGAGCATGGTCGAAGAACTTTTTTTGCTATTTTTATACAGAGGAGTGTGTGTGTATATATATGTAATAGTTCATTTTTCATGCTTTGATAATTATAAGAATGGAGTGGTAAAAAACTTTTCCTCCAATTATATTTAATTTTCATCTTTTTCATAGTTTTGATTTTTGGTTTTTGATACGGCTTGTTCAGTATAGTGGTTTGTGTATAATCCATAAATTAGGGCATAATTCATTGTACGTTATTAAACTGAATTGCTCCAATTTTTTTTACCTTAAATTTCTACTTCAAAATACTGATTTCTTATGCTAATTTTGGTAGCACATGTACTAAAACACTGAATTTAAAAGAATTCAAATTTCTTGGTTAATTTTGCACAGCATTTTAAAATACAACTATTGACTTGGTCTCCTAGTAGATTAAAACTGATTACTGCTTCTGACTTAATATCTATTATCCTTAACTTTGCTGACCCCAAATACTTACTGTCCTATCTTCACAAGCTACAATTTGGAAGATTTTATTTCACATTTTGTGTGCCCATTTTAAATTCCAGAAGGAGTTCTCTTGAAGTATCATAAGTTGTCTTTAGGTATATCTGTTTGTGTCAGGGAGTTCCAAAAGCTCCTCTGTTTGTCAGTTCAATGAGGCCCTTCACTGGGGGCTGTAAGTTGATTCTCAGCTGCAAGTGTTCCGTATTATTGAGAGGAATTAAAATCTGGTGTTCACAAACTAAAATCAACTTGTTATTGCACTTAATTGGAGATGCCAATTCATACATGTTGCTCACAAGTTTTTAACTGTTGGTCTATTCTCTGGTACTCCGATGCCTGTTCGCTTCCTCTGTATCCAAGGATAATGTGGGCTGCAGCATTAACTGTGCCATAGAATCTTTCATCTTTTTTGAAGGAGTTAAGATCAGAAGAAACCTAAAAGTTGCTGATTTACACCTAACTGCTACTTTTAAAAATTCCCTCGTATGAAAAGGAATAGAGCTCTTTTTAGCTCCCTAGCATTTCCGTCTGCTTCCTAATTTTTTAATCAAAAATAATGTTTAGTTGTGTGACTTGTACTAATGGTCTTCCTCTCACATCACATTAACCTTTATCTTTTTTAGCTAAGATAAGATTTCACTTTCTCTGATTTTGCTTTTTTGCGGGGAGTGAGTAAATTTTCCCCAAAGTGAAGCCAGGTAACAAAATGATTGCATCTTTATACATAAATTTCACCTTGCCTGGGGATGATGTTGTTAATACAGCCTTTTACCTTGAAGATTCTGTAATGTTCCCTCAGTGCTGCTTGGACTCGGGAGGTAAATTTAACAAGATGTGGCCTTTGATGAAAATATAGCTGGGAGTAGACATTGGTTCTTTCATGCATTGACTGTGTAAAATCTGTCTTGGGTTTTCTAGATGAGAAAATTACCTGTGTACCTTATTACATTATTGTGAAGATCAGTTTAGATATGTGATCAATTCTGTATAAACTTTAGAAATGATTGTAAGTATTCTAGGTTCTCAGATGGATAAGGAGGCAAACCATAGTACAATGTAGTAATTGCAAAATAAATTATTAGAGACTTGAGGGAGAATGGAAAGGACCACAGAGAGAAGATAAGGAGAATGATGATACTCTGAGGTGGGGTAGTGCTAGATGGGAGGGTGTTCTTGGCAGGTGGAATAAACAGTATCACCGCAACTTGTCATTGTGGTAGGCTAGGAGTAATGAGATGCGCACAGTGAAGGATTGGTTCTGGTGGGTAGGGCAATGTGGTTATGCCGTGATGCTGTCCATCATATACATGGTCTCACCCAAGGCTCCATTTAGGGGAGCAGTACTGGGATTTTCTTTGGATGAAAATTAACTGGGCCAGGGATGAACATGTAACTAAAATGGTTTATCCACAGGTGACCAGGAATGTTGGTTGAAAAGGTTGTACCCAATAGGACCATTCAGACTGGTTTCCTCAAAGACTTAGAGAGGGGAGTTGTAAGCCACAAACAGAGGAACCCATATAAGTCATTAAAAGAATAATCTATATTAACTATTCCCTTGACCTGCTTCAAATCCTGGGGACTCCAAATTCCAGGTTATGTATTACCTTATAATTATCTTTCTTTTAAAAGGCTGGATGGCTTCTACCTGTGTGGCTCTCTTCTTGAAAGCCAAAATAGCTTAGCCCAACATTTTAGGCCACCCATCTAAGAGATGTAGAAGAGAAGTTGATCTGAAAATTTATTTCTGAAGCACAGTACGTAAGAGTGACTGGTTTATTAGCTGAGAGAGTGGAGTTCCCTGAAGAAGTGGACAAGGGTGCTTTCCTTCTTAACAATCATTATTTTTATTAATATATTTTACAAGACTGAAATTGAAATAATATTAAATACAAATTTTTATACAGAAAGCGTAATAAAGTTAAAATAGTTCCTTGTAATTCATAGCATTATTGCAATGCTTACAAAATTTTTGCATAGAGTGTGCAAGGATTGATGTTATTCAAAACAAAACTAAAAAGCTCTTCTTACATCACACCCAAACCCAGAGCAAAAACAAAACCAAACCAAAAAATAACACAGAGGCTGGCCTCCAGTGCTTCATGGGAATGGGTCTCCTTTTTTAAAAAATTCAGAATTCCCAAGCCAATGGGACTTCTATGACCTCTTTTATTTATTTTTTTCCTATTAAAAGCACCAGAATCTGGCTTCTCCCGAAGTACGTCTAGCCATATCATGATGGATGGCCTCTGCCTTTTCTTTCTCAAATATGACCTCCTTGAGAGGTACCTCTGCTCCTTCATGGACTCCAAAAGGAAAAATCTTGGCCAGGAAAAGTGGGTTACATGTGGAAAACTTCAGCCCCCATCCCTAAAACACTGGATAACAATTATCTTCATTTTGTGTCACCGACATTCAAGTGTGCACACAGTTCCCTTCACTTTGCTAGAATCTCCCCTCTTTCAGGAAGCCAGATTTCTGGCCCTGGTGAGGTGGGTTCCATGAGACCCTCACAGTCATCCATTCCTGGCTTGCCATTTGAACATCTACACCCATAGAAAGCAAATCCCTGGCAGACTGACTCTGAAACAGGGACTTAAACCTTTTTTAGCTCATCCTGTTGTAAGGTTTTTATGGGGAGGTTGAGTCAGGTAAAAATGTCTCAGGGGCTGAGTGTATTTGGGTATAGTGAGTGGATCTGCAGCTTCCCCCAGTAAATCAGGTATGTGCATAGGTATAGAAAGCACATACCAGCAGGATGGATCACCAGCCCTGTGGCTGTGGCCCTCTCAGCTTGGGGGCAGGGGGTCCTTGGATGAGTTAATTCTTCAAAAGGACTTTGTCTTTTAACTCGAGCAGTTCAAAGCCCAATGTCTTCACTCAGAAGATAAAAGTGCTGCAAAGCTATTCAGTTCTAATGAACTTCAGGTGCACGCATTCTCCCCTTTCCTGGTTAGAAGGCCACCAGCCCTCATTGCTGAATCTAGGAACGCCAGTGTATGACCTACTCTGGTTAAAGAGTGCTGGGTTTTTTTTTTTTTTTTTTAAATAATAAAATAAAATTGGCAAATGGCTCTCATTTCCAACTTGGACGAATTGGGAATTGTGGCCTGAAAGCTTTGGTGAAAAGAATTCTGCACACGAGGAAGAATATAGCCCATTTGTGACTGCTGAGGAGATGAGGTGCTCAAGCCCTGGCAGAGCCCACGTGACCCACTGGCTCCAACGCTATTGAGTGGACAATGCTAACCAAACCCTGTATCCATCGTCTTGTTTTACTGTAGGAACAGGGACAGTGACACTCTCCTGACTGCCATTCTATTTGATTGTTTCCTTTACTTTTGCCAAAAACAAAAGTGGAGAAGAATGACAACCAAATGGTTCAAAGACCTCACCTAAAATAAGAGAGAACAAAAGGTAGGTGTGCAGGAGTGCTGCTTTGTATATACCCATAGACTACTACTACAGTGTCCTAATCATGAGGCTGACAATCTGAAAGGATAAGGCGCCTGGCTTAACAGGCATTACATCCAGAGCAAACACATTTTTTTTTTTTTTTGGTTCTAGATTCTATTATCCAGGCAGGTCTTCACCCCATGGGTCTATAATTTAGTATTGATTGTTATCATCATGAGAAGCTACAGAAAGCAGGGAGATAAGTGTTCTGCAGTCTCATTTGTTTAAGAAGATCTACTCTAAAATCTAGTAGAAGATACTTCCTAACAGCTTGAAACATAGTTTGTCCTGTTGGTGACTTCTTAGTATGGTGGTCAGAAGTTAGATCTACATTCCAGCTCTGTCATTTCCTAACGAGTGGCTTTGGACAAGTTTCTTCACCTTTCCATGGCTCCATCCCTGCATTTATACATTGAAACTGTAATGAAACCCATTTCAAAGGATTGTTTTGAGGATGAAATAAGTGAATGCATGTGAAACACTTAGCCTAGTGCCTAGCACATAATACATATTCAGTGAATATTAATTAAGCAATTATAGGAGAAAATAATCAAACTCTTTCTGTGTCTTAGGGTAAGGCTTTGGATCAAAGGAAACCTCCTTTTATGCAATTTTTTTGGATATGATTCTTTTTGCAGAGAAGTTTAGTAGCTGTGGTCCTATTCTTAAAAAGAATCCATGACCCTTAAGACTTAAGCATCCTGTGAATTAGATGGATATGGAAACTAAAGAGACATCTCTCTTGTTGACAAATGTCATCTTCCTGCTCTCAGACAACCTGATGCTGTAGCCCTCCCATGTAAGCTAACAGACCAGTTTAGAGTTTCTCACTTTATGATATCTGAGTTATCTCTGATTTTGCTAAAATCCCAAATGTAGAAGTAGGCTGCGAAGACATTGGACTGGTGCCTGCTAGAAAATTCTAAGTATGCAGGGTAGATTTTAGATCAAACAGATGTTTTCTTCTCCCTTCTCCCAGTGAGAGCAGAATCATATTTTACTTAGCTGATCTCAGCTATAGGGTGTTCAGTGATGAGGCAGAATCAACTCACTTTCTATCCAGTATGTCTACATCCTGAACGAGGTGTTTGGAACACTACTCTGCCTTCTTACCATGATAAGTAGATTTGGACTCAAAACTACTTCTTACTTATAGCAATTCTTTCCTTTGTTTTCTTCCAATTGCAAACCACAAAAGAGGCACCAATATTACCAGTTGCTGTGCTAAAGTAAAGGAACTGTAGTTAGCATCGCTGTTGGTGTGAGGGAGACTGCTGACCTATGCTCTGAAGGCATCTTTAACACTGTGTTACATATCACACTTTCTAGTGCATGGCTCATGACATTCTTGCTTTTTTCTCTCAAAGGAAGATACTAATTTCCTGCTCCATCAGTATCTACAAAAGGAGGGTGGGGGAAAGCCCACGTGTGTGAGCATAGGGTGCACCAAAAGGGGTGTTTTCTTTTACACTTGTGCTCTAACAACACTCAAAAGGACCTTCCACAAGTAATTATTTTCCCTTTGCCATTCAGACCTTCCTGGAGAAATTTCAAGGACTCGATTATAAAGAAAGCTTTTGAGGACCATAGAAATCACAGTGCTTGCGAACTGATGCGTGGTGTGCTGTGCTGATGGGAGCACCCTGCTTCCCACCGCTCTCTCTCTTATCAGTGGTTTGGCTTTGTGAATGAGAAATTCAGAGGCAACTGTATAATTTTAAATTCCGATTAGCACAAAGAAAGAAAGGGATGCATTTGACATCCCAATGCAGTAGCTTTGACTATTTTAATGGAAATAATGTGGGAACTGGGGGAACTTTTTACCAAGGAGAAAGTGATGAAAGACCACAAGAGGGACATTTTATCTTGGAGATAAAAGGCCTGTTTTTTAAGGTTGTTTCTTTCATTCTAACTTTTTCCCCACTGGTTACTGGTGCACCATGCAAACGTGTCATTCAAGGAATTGCTACTTTATCCTCTTTGTACCTAACATTTCCTGGGGTAGGGATGAGGGCAAACTGATGTTGTTTGTGACTTCCTTAAATGAAAAATTTTCAGCTTTCATAGATCCTTATTAAAAAAAAAAAAAGGGTCAGGTGCTGAATTGTATCTATTTACTCTTTGCACCCAAACATCACGCTACCTTTTGCCTAAAATAAAAGCAACATGTTCTATTCTGCTGCCCCCGTAATCTTCTATCAACTGTATCTACATGGAAGGTTGAGGTGCCTCTTATTGGATAGAAATTAAGGACTAGTAAATGATGATCATTTTCAATAAAAAGATCCTTCCTCCCCAACATGAATACTCATACTTACAGAGGGTCATTCATAACTCATGTTTTTTTTTTTAAATAATGAGTATAAAGCCCTCAATTAGCAAAAGGGGTGTTGATTGGAGAGACGAATTTCTGGTAGGAACCTGCTTTCCCACACAGAAGCAGAGTAGTAGAATCCAAAACATGTTTTGTTTTGATTTTTTTTTCTTTGCACTTGGCACCAAGGAACAAAATACTGAGATCCTTGGAAACAAAAGCAAACTGGCATTACTCTGGTTCCTCTCACCAATGGCTTCATAAAAAGAATTTTCCTGTATTTTTCTTCCTACACACATTAAAATCCTGCTTCTTCTGATACTTCCAGTTATCCTTCCTTCTGACCATTTCTTGAGGCATGCCGGGGCTAGAGGACCATGAAGTACCTTGGAAATATGGATAACCAAGGTAACGGAGACCAAAAAAAGACAATGAAGTAAAAAAAAAATAGTCTGTGAAGGACCTTGGTGTGGTCATCTTTCTGGAGAATGGGCAGGAGAAGTGGGAACTTCTGTGTGAGATTAGAGAGTTCCAGAAAGAGTTTTCAGGAAAGAGATTGTCCATTTCAACCATAGCATCCCTGCTTCACCTCTCGTCACACAATGATGCTGATCCATTTATTAAGAATCCCCCGAAAAGATTCAGAGGACCTATCACAACTTTCCTGTTCACCTAAGCTGCCCCTCATTCTCTTCTCCCTGACCCCCCCAAATCCTCTGATCTTATGTTTCTCCAACAGATGAATCATTTCTTCATGTAGTTTTAAGGAAGCTCTTCCTTCCTAAATTAGTTTGCCAAGTATTTATATTCCCATGCTCACACAGAAATGCAGGCTTACCCTGGCTACTAGGGGATCCGCTTTCTCTCCTGCTATGTCCGACATATACCACAAATGGCCTCTAGGTCAGGGGTCAGCAAACTTTCTCCATGAAGATCCAAATAGCCATCATTATGTTTAGCGGGCCACATGGGTTCTGACAACCCTGGTGTCACAGAGTGATATCAGTCACAAACAACATGCAAATTAAAGCACATGGCTGTGTTCCAATAAATCTTTATTTACAAAAACTGGTAATGAATCAGATTTGGTCTCCAGGTTAGAGTTTGCTGACCCTTGCTTTAGGGTCAAACCTCAAGCAATCTTTGGTCTATGGCTGCTGGATGTACAGTGAAAATTATCCAAAGGGAATATGACTTAAAAGAAGTTGGAAGCCAATTCAAGTTTATAAGGTTTATCTCTTGGGCAACGAAACAATCACAAAGCCACATGTCAAGTTTCCACCTTGACACGTGGCTTTCAAAAACCTCCATCACACTGAAGTTTTTCCCAAGATGGAAATCTCATGACTTATCAAGCAGAGATCAAATAGAACTAAATGTTAAACATATTTGGAGATCATTTTTTTTTCATTTATAAAAAATCTAGAGAATAGTATCATATTAGAACTTCCAGTACATTGAAGAATTGTTTGAACTCTTTATTATATTGCCAGGTGTTTACTATACCCCAAAGTGTGATTGTCTAGCAGGTATTTTATACAAAGATTAGAAAGAATCTTGTTTTTTAAAATTAGGGATTAGCAGATTTTAATGTAAAATCTATTTTTTTCCCCAGAATTCAAATAAAACTTTCTCTTATGACCATGGAAAGAGATTCTGTTTAGAGGGCATTGGGAGGGGGGAAAAAGTACATTGAAGATCTTTGAGTATATTTTACCAGATTCTAAAGTCTGAACTGAAATGCATAATTTCATCCACACTGGAGTTTCTGCTTATTAACTTATACATTGTGGTCATTTAACATAAATGAAAGGCAGACTTTCATATCCCGTGTCCCGCAAAGGTACTTCATTTATAATCGTGATTGCTATTATTTTTTTAATTCTACTTGTGATCTGATTACCTTTAGAATTAAATTTTGCAAGAGGACTATACCAATGTTTCTTCTTCTTGATTGGCATAGACGTCCCAAGGTGCTCATCTCAGACATTTGTCACGATTAAAACAAAATCAGAGGAAAGAGGTTCAGGGAACTCTTGTTTCCTCCTCATCAATAGATGATGTATGTGAGATGGCAAAATGCAGAGATGGTTTGTCTGTCTGCTTCAAGTACAAACCTGTCCTAAGGTATTTAGCCACAATCTACTGTGAGCTATATGGTTTATCTGAATGCTATGCAGTAGGTGATCTGAATATCCAACTAGGGATTTTTCCTGGCTGGGAAAAGCCCTGGGTGTGATACATGCAGATTCTGGCAGGGTGACCCAACAGGATATTGGTAATCCCAATCCAGAGTATCCCGATGTCTTTTATGGTATTCATTTTTAGACCTTAGTACTACTAACTTAGCAATACTATGGAATTTCCCCAAGATCGACCAACCCAATCTTCTGCATGACATCCAAGCAAGAACGAGAGGAGCGAGCCTGGGAGAAACCAGCTGAGTCACTTGGCCATCCCACCCTCCAAGAAACCAAGCTTTGACAACCCATGTGTTCCAACCTCAGCCTGATGCTTGAGTGACACCTCAAAAATATCAAACCTCTTTATCTTTCATGACAAACCTTCCTCTGCTTGAGAAGTAAGAAAAATTAGAACCTCGTTGAAGAAGGAAAAAAAAAAAAAACATTCAGGCCAATACATACGGCTTCATTTTAGAATTGCGGGGCCGTTGCTTGTCAAATGGCATCCAGGACGGTCTAAGCCAGTTACATCTCCACTCTGGGCTCCGTAGAGTCCATATCTGTTAACCATTTGGTGTGTCTACCAGCTGTTGATGCCCAGTCATAACTAAACCATTCCTCTCCAATCACCCAAAATAAACTACAGGTAACAAGATAAATAGGATGTGCTTCTCCTTGCTGAGTGCATTGACTTAAGGCATAGGCACATTTCCCCCTCTTTGAACAGAGATGGTGTAATCCCCTGTCCCAGCACAAGAGCTGGCCAGGGTGACCCTGGAGCATGGTGATGAAGGTGGAAAAATGAGAGGTAGCTGATGGCGGGAATTAGAGATGCTTCCATTTACGGGGCAGTGGGTGCTGCTGTGTCCCACGGCACACAGTGATTTTGATGAAGACACATGACTCAGTTTTCGTTAACTTGCAGTGAGCAATTTTGGCAGCATTACAGTGCTTTAAACCTGTGATTTCTAGAGAAAACATAGTAGTGGATTTAGGAATATACATATCCCAGTACTGAAAAAAAAATAAGATCAAAACTAGAGAGTGGGTAAATGCCTTTAAAAATACAAAGTGTGTCTAAATTACCTACCTGATACCCCAAAATGTATGAATGGCAATTGGGTTCCCTATGCTACTCTTAGATTTCCATCTTAAAATGATTTTTCTTGGGGTAGGGCTCCACTCTTTGGGATTTTGATTGACATCATCATTTTGGATCAGATTCTATTGGAGGAAGAAGTGAGAATATAACAGCTTTGGAGCCATTTTTTTTTTCCTTTAAACAGAGACATATCACCCATTTATTCTTTGCCTGTCAGGCTACTGAGTTGCTACCAGCTGACTGAGGAGCAGCTGTTATCCTGTTTTGTGCTGATTTACAACTCTAATTTTGACTATGGGAGAATATGTGAGTTTAAAGGAATTAAGATAAGCTGAAGTTGGGTGAGCAGTTCAAAATTTGTTAAAACTCATGCTCCTCATTCATGCAATGACAAAATCCCAACACACTTGGCTGCAGGGGTAGGACAGGCATTTTGAGTTCCTTTGATGACTTCCATGGCATTGGACCCATCTCTGATTTGAAGGGGGGCCCTGGGCCAGCCTTATAGACTTACTAAAGCTAAGAAAGGGAAACCAAACATCTATTTTTTTTGGTGTTGGCGGGGAGCTGGTGCTGGGGATGGAACCCAGGACCTTGCACTTGCTAAATTCTCACTGTACCACTGAGCCATAACCCCCCCCTCCTAAGTCCAAGGTGTGTGGGCTTCATACAAGGATCTCAGCACTTGAGTGAGACTTGGAGATTCCCGCCATCGCTGCCTGTAATGATGTAAAAAAAGAAGATATGCTGTCACTTGAACATGTTGATGCATATTCAAGTGTTCAATCCACTATGTGACGTTGAATGGTCTCGGGGATGTTGGGCCTGAAGGAGTGTTTTGATTTCTGACATGTAGGTGGTGGGGATGGGATGGAAAATGACAGTGGATATCACAGGGTCACCCATGGTTCCTTTTGTACTGAAACCTCATTTTATACAGAGGATATATATATATTTATTTATATTTATTTATATATATTTATATCCACTCACACAGGCAAACACTCTCACGTGTACACATACACTCACCCATGCACACGCGTTCACACACGCACACGCACACAAGGTCTTTGATAGGCTTTCTGTGTTCTAGTAAAAATAGCTGGCAGCCAGTGTCTAAAGCCAAAAAAAAGGCCTTTATGCTGCCGACAAGGTCCACTGTGGATAGTCTTTCAAAGGCAGACACTTGTGTTTATCTGACAAGTGGAACCAGTTCCCGCCTGGGACAGGAATAATCTCCCATTGGCGCAGACGCAGATCTCGAAGACCTTCTGCCTCGTTCCTGTGGGCGTGTAGGATCCATGAGGCAGTCTAGGTAGTTTGATTTTCGCAGCATCTAACCTAATCTGAAGAGAGTGAACAGGAAGGAAAGAGTCAGTCAGAGGCTGCCATCTTTGCTCTGGACTTGCAGAAAGAGTGAGCAGATGAATGTTCAGCTTCATTTAAACCTCACCAGCACCTACAGTGTCTTGGCACTGGGGATCTGAGATGCTCAAGACAGGTGAAATTGCTCCTCTCCCAGAAACATACATCCTAGCAAGATAATGCTACACCGACCAACATTAGCAGTTTTGCAAAAAATATAAAGTGTAGAATGTGAATAGTGGTATATGTAACGGTTTTCATTACCTGCAGGCTTCTCAGATTCTACATATGTCTCTATATAAGATGAACCTTCAAGAGGAGGGGAATGAACAGCATTTACCAAGTTTTAAATGATGAGTGAACTTTCCATTTTCCTTTTTGAACAATTTATGTTGCTGATATTCTATAGAATATACTTATATACATTACTATAAAAAATTAGCAGTGGTGAGATTACCAATAGAAGTGTGATTATAACTTATTCCTCCAGAGCTCAAATTCTGAGATATGTGAGATAGTCACTATTTTTATGTGTGTGGTTTACAGTTTGTGGCTATTTGAAGAGGCAGCTGTGATAATTAAATGTTCTCTCCATTTTAAAATAAAATAGTAAATACCAAACCAATCAAAGGGAGGGTGTTATATCCACGGGGTGTATTAGGGAAGCAGGTGGAGACTTCCTGTGAGTGGATACAACAGGGAGAATAGTTTTACCTTTAAAAAAAAATTCTGGGCTGGGGATATAGGTCAGTTGGTAGAGTGCTTGCCTTCTATGCACAAGGCCCTGGGTTCAATCCCCACCACCATCAAAAAAAGAAAAAGATGCTAAAAAAAAAATCTCAGGTTTTGTCCTTCTTATTTTTATTCTTAAATTAAAAGCCTCACTCATAAGTGATACTTTGAAAGTATTTTTAAAAGTTTGTAGTCAAATCATACTGGGCGGAGCAATGTTGTAGAGGCAATGAAGCTTGCATTGTTTGCAAAAACACAAGAAGTGTTTTTATTTATCCAACTGAATTGTGATGGGATAAGAGAATGGATATCTGTAATCCTTCATTCTCTGGTTACCTGGTTTTACCCTATTAATTTTTTGCTTGTTGTGGTTTAGAATAGCTGTTAGAGCTGACTCTCCGTTCCCAATGAAAATAGAAACATACAACATAAAATACGTGCATGTAAATTAAGTTCATCTTTAGCCAGATGGGTGAGACATTCAGCTTGACTCTGCTAGCTAAATAAATATTATTTTAAGGCAACAAGAGAGAATTTTGAAATAGCATTCCAAATTGGCCATATAGTTGTGTACTTGCAACACACTCCATTATGGTAGCCCTTCACAAATAACGAATCATAACTTTTAAGTACTATGGTTTGGGCTTGTAATCATGTTATTCAACTTTTTGTGTCATAAAATAAAATCTTCTGATTGACTCCCTTGGTTGAAGCAGTGCAGGATCAATCTTGGTGCAAATCAGCTCTGGGAGAGGTCGGCCTCTAGGACATGTCTGTCTTTGGGCTTCTGTTCTTCCTAGCACTTACCTCTCCATCTTTGGATTCCAGCCTCAGCTCTGTTCTGCACGTGGCTTCCATATTGCCGGCTTCTGCATTTATTTCGACTCCTTTTGGGGCCTCCATCACCAGAGAACGGGTTGGAGACTCCAACCTGAAAGACACACAGGTGAAGATTAAAGATCCTGTTCCCTTTTTGGTGAATTTCGGAGAAGGTTGGTGCTCAGGGCATCAAAAGAGCATTTCAGAATTTGATCAGAGGATGTTTCTAGTTTTGCTTTAGAAACTGGGACAAGTTTGACGGAGACTATAAGGGGTCTAGGCTGTATCTTTATTACATTCCACAAAGGTCATAAGGAAGGTGTTCCAAGATCATGACTTCATGTTGTCTTACATCCATTCAATTATTGCTTTATTGGTATAGTTAATCAAACTCTCACATGTGCATTTTTTCAAAATAGGACAATCCTAGGTCTAAACTGAGCTTCCTGAAATTGGTAGATATTGTTTCCACTTTTCCTTACTTTCTGTGGCTTCTTTGGATGTGAAATCAGATAGAAGTTAAGAAAATAGATCTAGGAGCAAGACATGCTTGGAATTGAGTCATGGTGTGGCCACTATATGATCCTGGGCAAATATTTCTTCCTTTTCCTCTATAATTTCAAAAAGTGACAGTTTCTTCATTTATAAGGTACATCAAATAATGCCTGTCACATTGGAAATGCACATATGTATTAACTATTACAGGTGAAATTATGTATTCAAAATGCTTGGAACCAGAAGTATTTCAGAGGGGTTTTTTTTTGGGGGGGATACTTGTGTAGACTTTACAAATTGAAAAATCCAGGTTCCAAGATACTCCAAAATGTGAAACTTGTAGAACCTCCTGTCGGCAATCAAAAAGTTTAATTGTTTGGAGCGTTTTGGATTTTTCTGTTGGGAACACAAAATAGACTGCTTTTACTAATGTTATTGTACCAGCAAATTATAAAGCAGTCCTGAGCCCTGTTCTACAATGTGGTTGTCAAAAGATTTAGAATGGGAAGCTATTAGAGCTAATAAATGAATTCAGCAAAGTGGCAGGATATAAGATCAACGCGCATAAATCAAAGGCATTCCTGTATATCAGCGACAAATCCTCTGAAACGGAAATGAGGACAAC